CATGTGAAATTCAATGGAAACGTCAGCTCAACTCATATCATTTTGGGAAGATTCTACTACCAGCCCTTCATCACCTTACATGAAATAGGGTGAATACATCTCATTATACTAAGTAGTCGTCAGGGCGACCTCCATTTATAATTAAAGATGGTTGATGAGCTCTCTTGGCTCTAGCCTCGAAAGTCTCGGCCTGCTCAGTCCTACCAGTAGAATGTGCATGCGTTCACACTTACATATCCACAGACACCCATTCGCATGTGCACAAAAAGCATTCATTTCTCAAAGTATAAAATGATTTTTTGGTGAGTAGGTTTTTGAGAATACCAGCAAATCAGGTAAATTCAGTCGCGCTCAACCTACTTCGTTTAAGGTGATGAAAGAGTGGCAGTCGTTTTTTCCCACCTAAATGGTGTCATCACACCTTTTGGGTAAGCACGGATTGTGGTAAAAATCAACTTGCAGTCCTTCATTACGTTGGGCGAATCGGTGTGAATACAGCTCGTACATACAATGCTGTGCTCAACTTATTCCCACACAACTGCACATGCATGTGTCCATGTAAATGCACACGTGCGTGAGTGGTCGTTTGGAGCAGAGCTATTCTGATCGGTTATAATCTTCAATTCGTAATTCCTCAAGGTGATCACGGGAGTGTCAAATGCGACGACAAGATCATGAAATCACCAAATCATTGCGTCTCGTCAAATGAGCTGATACTGTGTGTGTGTGTGTGTGTGCATAGCGGAAAGGGATGGCGGGTTGACAGACACGGCGAGTCGAGACTAGCGGCCAACTTCACTTTTGGGTTGTGCGGTTGGAAAAAAGCTCGATCTGACGCAAACGCGTGCTGATCGCGGGGCTCTCACTTACCGTCGGCATTGGCGCGCGGCGTGAGGCGAGCTCGTCGAGAAGACGGCGCGTAGATCCACGGCGAGGTCAGGGGCAAATGCAAAAATTCCGGCAAATCCGACAAGTCGAGCACAGCACAAAAAGACAGGAGGAGAGGGTGCTTTGCGAGAGAGCAGAGGTGAAGTGAGGCGAGTTGAGGTGAGGAAAGGAGAGGAGAGGAGAGAGGAGAGGAGAGGGGAGGAGAGAGAGAAGCAGGTGTTGGAGGCTGTGTTGAGGAGGTGTTCTCGAACCGGCAGACGATGCGCAGAGCGTGTTGTGTGCCCAAATGTGTGTGTGTGTGTTTGGCAAAGGGGGCGCACGAGAGAGAAAGGGAGAGAGAGCTCGTCGGAGCGGGCC